TGAAGAGAATAATAAAAATAAGATGTATGTTAGAGTACTCTCTAACAGGGTCGAATTGATTGTAATGGGACACTTTTTTGTTTAGTTTTTGTTGTTGTTGTTTCAATAGTGGTTTCAATTGTATTACGAAAATAATTGACAATTTCATTTTGTAATTCAGCTATTGTTTTTAAACATGCTGGTAGAAGAATACGATCATCTCTTGATGAAGTCAATAATAACATTGCAATACTTGTATTCTCGGCAAATTTCTCTTTGGAAACAACATGTTCAAATTTTGGTGTTTGACATCCGTAACGAACTTCTTTCAAAGTTAATGCATACCAAGCATCGAGAAAATCTTCAAACAATTTTTTAGTTATATCTTGATCAGCATCTTGTGTCAAATAGTAAATCATTTTTGTTTGTACAGCATCGATTCGTTTAATTCGATGATTTAATTTTTCAATTAAATAATTACTGAAGGTAATAATGGGATACAAATGTTGAATATTTGTATAATCATCTAAACGTTTTAGAAGATATGTACTAACAGGATAAGTCTTTTCGGCAAAAGGTAAATTTTGTATTTTCAAAATAAATTCATCTAACGGATTCGATGTATGAAACGTAGTAATATTAAAAAAATTCAATAGTGGATAATGTTCTTCATTTTCGAAAAGTTCATCAATAAAACTTTCTAATGATTGTTGTTTTTGTATGAATTCAGCATGAGCTTTTTTATATTCAGTTATTTCATTGTCGACTGAATCGATAATGTTTAAAAATAAGTTTTTCTTCGATGAGTTGTTCGATTTGTAGAATATTCTCATTTGTATTTATTTGACCTGTTTTTTTAGTAAATTCATCATCAACAAGATGATTGAGAAGTTTATAAAGCCATATATAACATTGTTGAGGATCAATTGATGTTTGACAGAGAAGATCATAATCATTTTCGAAATGATCACGAAAATGTGTATTTGTTGGTATTTTGAGACGTATCTTCAAATCATCATCAGTTAAATAATTTCGATCATGCAAAAATTGAAGAAGACCATGAGTAAGAAAATGAATAAAGCGAAATGAAACTGGTCGATTTAAATGATCAGGTTTGTCACCTAAACTACTCTCATTTATATTCTTGACATCATGATATCCGAAACGAATTGTTTGATTTTCTTGATTAATATATTTATCAATTTTTTGAAAAGCATCAGGATTCGGTATTCGAAGTTGAGGAGGATCACGTACAATAAGATCATTATATCCCTTAGCACCAATTTCTTTCTGACATAAAGAGCATATGCTTTTAGTTGTTGGAGCACCACAGTCTTCAAAATAGAACATCCATGGACATTCTTTTGAGCATTGGTAAATGAATTTTCCATAATCGACTTTAAACTTTTCATATATACGTTGATCGAGACGTTCTTGAACTCGAGTGCGAACATATATCATTTGACTGATAATGATATTGCTGATCGTCAAACCTGGCAAGCAGATTGTCGAGAGATGTTGAACGTAACTATTTGGCATTTGTCGTTGATTATCGAAAAGAATATTACCAAGAAGTGTAATTTCTGATTGTGCTTTAAACGAAATAAAGACAGCAACAATATTTAAAGCAAGTAAACGTTTATGAATATCATCAGGTAACATTGTCGAATGAAGTCGAAAATAAGATTTTTCTGAAAAATTCGAACATAGATCAATAAGAAATCGATGACCGAATGATGTAAATGATTTAATTAAATCTTGACCAAAATCATGTTGAATAATTCGAATAAAGTCAGCATCTATTTCTGTATTTGGTTGAGTAAAACGAGAATAATATTCAATAAACCAACATAGAAATGCATAGGATAATTCTTGTGTATGATTACATTCTTGAATTATTTTTCGTAATTGATTATTTCTATCTGTATTATTGAATACTTGTCGAATTCGTAAGAATTGTGGTCGACATTGAAAAAGAGGCATAGGAGGAATAATAGTTTGACGCACATTTGTTGTTTGTTGATCACGTGAACGTTGAAAAAATGGTTTTATCCAAAGAAGATTACGATTTACATAAATGTCACGTAAATCTTCAAGTTTAAGTTTGCATATTTGTAGAATTTGTTTGACAATAAAAAGTTTAAGTGTTGAACAAAATGGTGTATCTGTATTAGTTAGAAATTTATTAAGATCAGATAAGATATCTTCTCGACTATCATTATTTAAAGCAAATGCATACATTTGTGCATAATATTTTAACCATGCAACTAATGAAATCATTTGACCAACATCTAATTTTTTATTACTTTGAATTGTATGAACATTTTCAACAAAATGTGGATATTCATTAGTAAGTTGTTGATCGATTTTATCTCCTTGAACACTTAACATCAAATGCATATGAAGACGATTGACCATTAATCGTTGAATTTTACGTGTAGATGTATTTGATATTTCAAGAGATTGATTCAAATGTTGATATTCATCATTGGATGATAGATTACCATGATTTTTTTTTAATGTTGATGTTAACTCGAGTTTATTATCAATAATTGTAAAAATTTTTGCTGAATAAAACCAAAGATCATTATTTTCATCATTCATAAGTGTTAAAATTTCACCATAGGAATCTTCATTATCAGCTAACCAATCTTTTAAAAAGTCAAGTTCAAGTTTAACTAATGCTCGATGAATAATATTTTCATCGACAGTTGATTGTTCTGATTTGATACGTTCTTGTAATTGTGTAATAAAATAATGGATACTTGAACATAAATGAAATTTGGCATCGAAACCACTTTTAGAAACATCTTTGAGAACTTCAAGAGCTCTATGAGGAAGTAATGTAGTGAGACAACGAACAAAACTAAGAAATGAACGAAGTTTCTCTAGATTATTAACCATATATGAATCTAGATCACGAATACCTTGTGCAATTAAACTATAAGTTGTTGTTACTTGTTGAATATTTTTTACTTGTTGAATAACAGATGGTGAAAGAATGAGTTCGATTAAATTCATAAGACTTGTTTCAATCATAGGATCACCTTTACATTCGAATATTGGTTGTTTTTTAAGTGTTGTAGTTTTCGGTGGTAATAGATAGAATTGTTCACTATTGACTAAGACAAGTGTATAGAATTCGGAAGATTGTATCATACTAGGTGGAATTTCCACCCATTGTTTTTTAATTATATTGCGAATTTGTTCTTCATTAATTAATTGTAAACTAGTTTCAAATAAACGAAGAATTTCTGTTAGTTCAATATGTTCAACAAGAAATAATCGTTTATATTGTTTAATTATTCGTGTTGGATTATTTGTTAATAAATCAAAAACAAAATCAGTTGAAAGTTGAATTTTAACTTCAGCTAAATGCATTGCAATTTGATCATGAAAATATAATTGAAACCATATTTGATCATTGAAAATAATTTGTAGAAATTTATCGTTATAAATATTTGATGTATGCATTTGATCAAGACGAGAATCATATTCATCTAATGAAGATTCATAATCATTTTCTTGTAATTCTTGAAATTTCTTTCGAATAGATCGAATATTTTCAAATTCAACTGCGCTGCACAAGGTAATTGAAGACCAAAGATAAATGAAATATCAATAACATCAAGATTCATTAGTGTTACATTAATAGTTTCTAATGATGTTTTCAATGAATCTATCCATAATTTGGATAAATTATTTTGTATATTATCATCTTGATTATTTGCAAGAAAGATATAGGCATCGAAAAATTGATATTTTTCAAGATGTGCCAAAAGAAGTGAAAGATAGGCTTCATAAAACATTGAAATAGTGACTTGAAAAGCATCGTAAAAGGAACGTGAACTTGCGATGGTTATAGCATTTGTTAAAATATCAAATCTCCAATCAACAAAACGTGTTTTATCAGATGATGGAAGTTTTTGAATTAATATCATCAAATGTTCAATGATAATCGAACGAAGATGAAGACCTTTTGGTGTTAAGGGTACCCCCCCCTCTTTTTTGACCCAAAATTCGATTTTGAGCTGAGCCCAAGGTATGATAGCCTGAGGTGCCACCTACAACTGGAGACATTATTCGACTCGAAACATTTTACTTTTACCTATTTATTAGATCGAGAAAAAATTTTTTTTCATAGTAATCGTATGTAAATTTTTTTCATTTACTTAGCGTTTTGGAAAACAGCGATTTTCTACATCTTGATACATTACGACCCCCTTTTTAGTTTGTCTGATCGAGCTGAAATTTTTACCACTAACACTTGAGAGTATTCTCCAGAGGTAAAATCGAGCGTTTTCATTTTTGATGTTCCTACTCCAAGTTACAGGGTCGCAAAAGCCAAGACCCGAAGCACAAATTCAAACCTTGCTCTATTTCTCTTATAAAAAAGAAAGAAAGTGAGATTTTTGGAAATCCTTAATTTTACCTCTGGGAAATAGTGTTGGGCGTCTATAAACAAAATTTCAGCCCAATCGGGCAAAATTTAAGGGGGGTCGTAATGTAGCAGGATGCGGACCTCTGGAAAACCAGGGTTTTCCAGAAAACCCCTCGAAAACTTAGTTTAAATTTTTTTTCCTCGAACACGTATCTCGTTATTTTTGATGCTCTATCTGTGGTAAAAATTTCAGCTTGATCGGTTGTACCGTCTTCGAGAACCACAAAGTGTCAAAAAAGAGGGGGGGGTACCCTTAATGCTTGAATATCGATAATATGTTTTTCAAAACGATTAAGAAATGGTGGATCACATTGATCTAAATCACGTTTATGTATAAAAACTACACAATAAAAATCATCATGTGCAAGACAACGTGGATGATAAAGTGCACCTAATGCAATACGACAATATTTTTTTCTTGCTGATATAGCAAAATTTTGATTAAATAAATCATAAAGATTATCATAGAGATGACCCATTTGACGCATAATTAAAGTTATATTTGTTTCAGCATAAAGAATAATATCCATTAAAACTCGATAATTATAATCTTCAGCATACGTATTTTCTGAACGTAGATCACCAGAAAATGAACTACCAACAATTGTACGAACAATTGTTTTTTGTTTTTGTTGATGAACATTAATATAACGTTCAACATAATCAATTACACCATCACTATCAGCAATAAGCATAAGATATCGACTTGAACGTGTACGAAGAGTTTGATTAAGAAGATAATTAAATGGTGGAGATGTATATTCAACAATAAGATTTTGTTTATTGATATAATCACAAAATTGTTGCCGTAGAAATGTTGAACCATCAAAAATACCATCAAAATTTATTTTAAGTTGTTTTCGAATTATTTCATATAATTTATCATTTATCTTTTAAATTCATTGTATCACGAGCAATACCTTTAATAAGAGAATAATAATCTCGAAGACCAAAATAATTTTCATATTTTGGTTGAGTTTCTTTTAAATGTTCATATAAATCATGATACGCTTGAGAAAGACTATCAATAATGAATTTGTCAAGTTGAACTACTTGACCATCAGTTTGTTGTTGCATACTTCGAGCAATTGTAAAACCTGTAAGTTGCAAATCTTTAACATCTGGATCTGGTGTTGATAGATAAAGTGCACGATTCATTTTCGATGCATCAAGTCGCCAATTTGATACACCAACTAAACCAAATTTACTATTGTCAACTTCAAATTCAGCATGTAAAACTTTGAGTGGATTATGTGGAGAAAGTTCGGCAAGACCAATTTCATCAAAAACAATAACAGGTAATATTTCAGAATCATTTCGAACTTCAGCATATTTTGATGCACGTTCAAAAACTTTTATTATACTTTCTGATGTGCAATTTTGTGAACCTTGAAATGAAACAGCTACAAGTTCTGGGAGGACTTGAAAGTATGGATCTTTAGATTTTTTTCCTTTTAAATTACTAATAAGAATTTGAACAGCTGACGATTTACTACTTCCAGGTTTACTACATAAAAACAAAGGTATACGATTGACAATACAAGCAAGAAGAACAAAAATATTATCACGAAGTGCTCGATTTCGTGCAGTACTTGGTGGTACTTCCATTCGATCATGAATTAATCTCTTTTGTTCAGTTTGAAAAATATAAGCTGTTAAATAATTAGGAATATTAGCTACTTGAGAATATTTTGTTGCTATAATCGATTGCATTTTTTGTGTATAGACATCTTGTAGTTCGACAGAACGCAATCGAAAATAATAACAAAGCATTAATGCAATTAAACTTGCTCGACGAATGACAACTTCAGACTGTTGTTGAAATGTTTGTTTAAAATATCGTTGAATTAATGAATCAAGAAACCAATTGTAAAGACGACAAAAACGAGCAATATCTCGTAGACTTACACTACTTGCATCTTCAATTTGACGAAAATGATTTTGAGATTGAACAAGAAGATTAACCACAAGATCGAATAAAACTGAAACACTCGAAAGATGTTTACATACGTTTAACATTGTTCTTATATAAGCTAATTCTGTTGACTCATCCAAATAGCCATAATCCCAAATATATTCGAGCATAGTTTCTGGAATTGGTACAACCGTATATAAAAGACGTTGATCAGTACCTGCCCAAAGAAGTTTTTGCATTTCATAACGATTTTTTCGTAATCCAACATGAACATTATCATTTTGAAGAATTTTTACTGTTTTCTGTCGTCGTGGATTACAAGCACCTAAAAACACCATCTTATCTGGCAATGGTTCTCCAAGTAATGTTCGTTCGCACATAATTTCTTTGAGAAGACCAATATTGGGTGTCGTATTAAATTCATCAAAAAAGATCCATAAACGTTTTTCTTGACTAGTATATGTTTGAACTTTTTGAACATAACTGTTCATTTTCTTAATTATAATATTAGCTGTAACACCAGGCATGAATACGAAAAATTTCTAAATCTTCATCAAGAACTTTTTGAGATAAAAATTGAATTAATGATGTTTTTCCACATCTTGTTTCACCCATGATTAAAACAGGTATACCACTTTGTATTCGCATATAAATAAGAAGCATTTTAATAAAATTATCTGGTGTAATAACATACTCAGCTTCAAGTTTTTTTGCAATATCAAGCTGAAATTGTTCGATATCTTTATGATCGAATGATTTTGGTCGAATAAGAATATTTTTACTTTCACATTTGTCACATTTTTGTTGTTTAAAATCATATTGTCCAAAACATTGCGGACAAATTGATTTATTAAAATATTTACGTGAAAGTGAAGCTAATTTAAGAAAAAGTTGACCATGACTAAGAGTAGTATAATCTAGAAAAATTGTATTTCGCATTATTTTATTTTGTCCTAATGCTTGATAGTAAAATTCAAAATATTTGACAAGTGCTTGAGGTACATCTGTTGGTTTCTTATAGACGAATAGCGGCTCATCACTAGATGTAAAAACTAATGTAAACGGTTGAATTGTATCCCATCGAACGATAGCATCACTGAATATTGTCGGTTCACCACTAGCAGCTGATCGTTGTTGTTTACGAACAGCTTCAACTGAAAGTGAAGTAAATTGATTTGTTGATTGAAGAAGTGTTTGAACAAGATCCATACGAAGTTGTAATTGTGTATCGGGAATTGATTCAACTAAGAAATAACCACACTGTGAAAAGCCTGTAAATAGACGATAAAATACAGCAATAAATATCGATAATTGAGTCCATGTTATGTAATCAACATCTTTTTTTGGAAGAAATGGACCTTGAATAAGACGAACACATGTTGTTACATCCAAATTTTGAAATATTGATGGATTAACATCCTGTTTTATAATGGCTTTACTGTCGATAGCTTTCAAATAATTTGCCACAGCTTGAATTTCTTTATTGCTTATATTAAGAGTTGTCCAATCGACTTTTTCGACGACTATTGATGGAGTTATATATTGAAACAATGGTAATTTATTGAGAGTCGAATCCGGTGATGCATCAAGTTCAATATATACAATTGTCTCGGCTGGTATTGAAACAGCTACATGTCCAAAACGAAAGTTTCGAAAAAGTAGTAGACAATAAAGAATTTCATTCAATTGTTGACTATCAGCAGTTGTACCAATATCAACATGAATAGCTCCTATTTGAAGTTGAGAATAGTTCGAACGAAGTCGTTCAGCTAATGTATCAATATCAAAATCATCATAGATTGGAAATTTTACATATTTCTTGTTAGATTTTTCTATTGCTTGACGAATAATAGCTGATTTTCCTAAACCAGTTATTCTCGATGTAACAAGTGTACAATTTTTATTCATATCTTGAATTAATTTTTGAAAATCTGTTTTATTTAATAAATCTTGATCACGTAGAATATCGACAATACGCATTGAACGAAGTCCATTGATAAGTTGTTGATTTCTCATATTAGTTGTTGTAATAATACCAATTCGAAAATTTTGATCAGGTTTTTCTTTCATTAATGAACGTAGTAAAGAAACAAATTGACTTTGTATAGATTGAGAAAGAAGTTCAGGTCGAATAAGTTGATGAAATGATTGTGAATAAAAACAACGATAAATAAATCCACGAATTTCTATCGAATTTGTTCGTGTTGTACAATAGAATAGATGATGAATATGTGGTTGAATATTTATTTTTCGAAATAGAGATAGAATAGCACGAAGAATACCTTCATTTGTTGTTTCAACAAGAAGAATTTTTTCATATTTAAAATTTTCTATTTGATCAGTAATGTCTGGTCGTAAATTCGAAAGTAAAATTCCAAGATTTTCTAGACGATCTTCTGGTATATCATATTTTTTATCTGGTTTTTGAATTAATTTCGGATCAATATCAATAAATCTAAGTAGATGATGACCAGGATGAGATACTGATGATAAATTGTAAATATAATTTTCAATAAGCCAAAATTGATCACCTGTAAAATATGTTAAATCAATATGTATTTCATACATAGCCAACAATTTCTTTTGCCAATTATCAAATAAATTAGTTAATATCGTATTATTTTCTTTTAATTCATCATAATTACCATCTGTACATAGGAATTGTTTTTCTGGAAAGAGAAATTTTGAAACAGATGGATGACCAGTCATATATAAATTTGTTAGAGTTTCTAGAGTTGTCTCAACAACACTAATAAATTGAATAAAATTACGCAATTTATCTATATCATGTTCTTTGTTATTATTATCAACTTTTTGTATATTACTAGAATATTCAAGTAGACGTGCACGATCACGAAGTTCACTTAAATCAGCAAATGTTATATTTTGTTTTTTTTGTTCGTCATTTATTGTTGTTTGTTGTTGTTGATTCGGAAGTTTAACATCAATATCAAATGTTATTTCATGATGTCCAATGAGAACAAAATTAATATTTGATTTTTGTAGAATATCAGCTATTCGACGTCGTTTTGATTGTTCTTTATCAGTTAATTCTAAATGAATACGTTTGATACTTGCTAATGATAAAGCCGATGATTCAAGACATCTGGAAAGATCATTAAATTGATTATTTTTCCATGTATTTTCAAAACATACAACTATATGTTCAAATGATAATGAAGTAACATTCAATTCTTTTTGTTTATTTTTCATTGTTGCATAGGAACGATCGAGAAAATTTTTTACTGTAGCAAAATCAAAAATTGTTTTCGTATTCAGCAATGTTTCATCCCAATCATTGACAGCTTCTTGTAAATTATAAACATCATCAGCCGTAAGTGAATCAAGAAAATCAAATAAATCCCATGATGAACCATAGTACGAGAATAATGTAAGAGTATTGGCTGAGCATTTCTTTTCGAATTGTTCTCGATATTTTTCATATGTTGAAAAACATATTTCGCCTAATGTCTTTTCATCAATAGACCGTATACTGTTCAAGAAATTTAAATCGATATTAGCAGAAATTTTTCCAGTCAAATTCATAATACCCGTACATATATATCGAATACGTATATGATCTTTCCAAAACGAAGCTACAGAAAAAAATAAAGGTAGAATGTCCTGATTTAATAATGGTATTAGTAATTTTATATCATTTTCAGCATGATCAATATCAGGAAATAAGCAAAGAATATCATCAATAGGAACTTGACGTCCACTATCACATATAAGTTTTAATATTTGTTCAAAATCTTGAAGAGTTTTGACGGCTTGTTCAAGTATACTTATACATTCAATTTTGACCGTTTCATTTGTTGTTTTTTCACTTTTATCTGAAATTTGATCTGCAGATGCGATACAAAAATAGTATTTGTGACATATTTTTTTCCAGAAATATTAGTCTTACCTGCTGACAATACGTGCTCTTGTGACCTAGTATCATCGTCAATTTCTTCACTTAAGTGTCGTTCGATTGGTTCTTTAAGACTTCGTCTTCCTACTGATCGATTATTACTCTTCGGTCTTGTTTGTTGATTGAGATATGTGCGCCAAGCACTTGCTGTTGCATAAGGATTGAGTTGTTCAGCCAATGGAACAATATTAGATAGATCGGATGGTATATCAATTGAATGAATATTTTCTAGTTCAAAACGTTCATGTCAATTTTTGACAAGATCATCATATTTCTGTTTATCAATTGCTTCTCGACAATAAGTATTCAGACATGTAATTACTTTATCGTTTGTTTCCAATATGTTTTTTAAAGCTTTACGTGAGCTATCGAAGACTATATCAATATCATCTTGTCTTCCTGATTTTTGAGCTACTAAAGACCAGATTTTATGAACGATTGCTTTTTTTTCTCCTGAAAATTTTTCCCATGTTCGTACATCACTAGCAAGAATATTTCCTTGTTCCCATTTTGTCCATTGTTGACTCAAACGATCAATAATTGTATTATGAATTGATAATAAACTGAACGATTCATCGAATAGAATGGCATAGATAAATGTATCTCGAGATGGTTGATTGAAAGTATCATTAATAAGTTCTGTATTTTTGATTTCAATCATAGATGCAGCAAGAGCGATCAGATTTTCCACAAGTTTGTTTTGTCTCTTTTGTTCTCTAGCGATGTTCATTAATATAAACAAGGGATTTGTCGGATCGTATAAATCCCTTAGACGCCCTTTGACATTGACTAGCTTGTCTTGTTCATATTGTTTTTCGAAGGCTTTAATGAATTTTTCATTGTTTACTGTAAGTAGAGGGCCCATCAACAGATCGTTCACGTTCTCTACAATAGAATGTGCAAACCTCTTATAATTGATGCACAACAGGGTGTGCATGTTACATAGTGGGAAGTCAGACAGACACATTCGAAAATATTCTTTTCCAGAATCTAACCGTTTGCGTAAATACATACGTATGCATGTGATCTATCATTTCCTAAAATAGCGGTTCTCAAAGTTTAATAAAGATGTTATCTGATTAGGTTTCATTCATGTGTAAAACTACGAGAACCAATTCATGATTTAATTTATAGAATGACTAACATTAATAGAAGAAGTTTACAATTTGCTCAAAAAGAAAGACATCTAAAAACTTATTGCCAAACCACTATTTTCTGTATTAAATTAACCAAAAATCGTATTGATTTCTGATGATCTCTAATAACTCCTGAGTTTAGAAATCAGTTTCTTTTTCCTTGAATGTACATTAAGTTTGACATTACTTATTGTGTGCTTAATATAAGAAAGTGATAGGAGTCAGTTTCATGAAAAATTAATTGCTTGCATGACTGTTCAACTATTTACTCAATATTTCGAATATCAAAATATTTGTTACAAACAGTCATCTTTATCATACTTTGAAAAAAAAACAGATCTACTGGACGTTACAAAACAGTAGTCACCAAACATGCCGATATTTTCTTTTCATTTTTTCTTAGTAGACATGAAAAAAAGAAAAGATTAAATTACTTTGAAAATTATCTTTTTCTGAGAATGATGACTGTCTCTCTCATAAATAGACATTTCTCTGCTGCTACCATGATTTGGTACTGTTTTTTAAGTATCTTTTTTTTCTGAAAAATAAATCTTTATATCTTTTTGTCTAAAAAAAAGTATGTATTCGCCAATCTGACCTTGAAAAAAACACATGCAACTCATTAGAGCATAAAATGCGAGATATTAATGAAAAATAAAACATGTAAATTACAACAATAAAAAATGAATAAAATATCATGAAAATGCAATATGTGCTATTTGCGAGCTGCACATAATATTTTCTTCTCGTCAAAGCATTTGAGAATTTGATTGAAGGATCAATATGTCATTTGTTATATATGGGCTCTTTTTTTTGCACAGAAAGAGATAAAATTAGACTTGACTCCCATCTGTCTCCTGTTCCTTTGAAGAACTAGTGATAAAAAGGCAATGCATGATTTTAATAAAAAAAACATAAGACAAGAATATTCCTAGTGTAGTCAAAATAGATCATATTGACATGTTTATTTTCCCATCATGGCCATTATCCTTCGTTTTACCTGATTCATTGAAATGTGACACTCATTCACTGACTCTTATGATCAACATAGAAAGAAAAGAAGAAACATGACGACTAGTAATAACAAAATAAGTGAAAGCCTATTAGATATTGATGTATTGGATCAATTAGATTTTCATGCTGCATCTTTTGTGACAGCTCCAATAACCTTACGCTATGTTAGTTCAAAAACTTCAGTTATTGGACCAACATTATGTCATGGTATTGTTGATTTACTTGATCATGTAACAAAAAAATTTAATGAATATAAAGAAGATGATATCACTGTTTTTGGTAATGAACATCATTTATATCATTCGTGTCAATATACATTAAATGTTAAAGAAGATAATATTCAATTTGCTGAATTAATTAACAATGATGATAAAATACATATTGAAATAAGTTCATTAGCTCCAACGATTTTTTATCAATTACGTGAAGATTTAGGTATATCCAATGAAAAATTTCGTCAATCATTTTCTCAATATAATTTAAAAGATTTCACAAATACAGGTAGAAGTGGTTCATTAATGTATAAAACAGATGATCAATTATTTATTCTAAAAACTTTACTTGATTATGAAGCACATTTATTATTACGAATTTTATCTGGTTATCATTTACGATTTCGACAACATTTAACATTACTTAATCGTTATGTTGGATTATATTCATTACGTATACAAACATCATCATCATTATCAGATATTATAATTTATGTTGCTATTACAGTTAATGCATTTACACCATCATTAAATATTAATGAAATATATGATTTAAAAGGTTCGAAAATAAGACGAAAAACAACTGGATATTTATCAACAGAAAAATTCTACAAATTAAAAGATATGAATTTTAGAGAATTATATCCAAATGGTATACGTATACCAACAAATATTTATCAAAAATTAAAAATTATTATTGCTAATGATGCAAAAGCTTTAAAAAAACTTAATATTATGGATTATTCATTATTACTTGGAATTAAACATTTAGATATGTCTGAATCACAAATGTTAGAACGTCAAAAGATAACAGGAATTATAGCTCTTCTTCGTACAACTAATAGTCTTGCAACAAACCAAATAGAAAACTCAAGTACCTGTACTTCATCATTAATTCTTGAATTTGATAGAACATCTTTGCCAAATTCATATTTAAAACCATTAGAAATTCTCAATGAAAAAATTAATATGAATTTATATTATAATAATGATTCTATTGCTTATGCAACTTTACCTATACCAGGTATTATTAATGGAACTAATAAACGTGTTTATATTTATTTAGCTTTGATTGATATCCTTCAAACATATGATACTCTTAGAATTCTTGATCAAACATATCGAAAACTAACTGATCCTGATAGACATCTTGAATATTCTCTTGTTCCACCAAATGAATATCAACAACGTTTTCATCAATTTTTATTTAAAGATGTTTTTATTGATGCTAAGGATGATTTTCCATGGGCTATAACAGATATTAGCAAATCTGTTGAGAATATTAAGAATGATATCATGGATAATCATAATATTGAACAAGATAAAACTGATACTAATTAATATAATCATTCCATTGAAAAGCAAAAAATTATATATTGTCCGTGAACATCGTTTCTAAACTTTTTCTCTATAATAAACAAAGATTATTTATTATTTTTTTTTTTGTAAGTCTATCTGTTCTTAATATTAACTAAATAAAATATACAACAAAAACTAGACTAACTCATAATTTATACTCTACTCTAATTCTCTTCTATAGTCGTCTTATTTGATGACTATAATCAATTTAACAAGTAATAAATCTCATTTAAATGCGAATGACAATTATGAAGTTTTTCAACCAAAGTTACTAACATATGAAAATAGAATATTGCGCAACATTTATCAAGCATCATTCTAATCATCTACAATTCTATATGAAGAAACTAGGATTATTAATATAAGTATCAATTATTGTATTATTATCCTCTCATTGACGATCTTGAATTAGATATGGGTGTGAATATATCTGTCTTCGTCCATTCTCACATTCCAAGCTTGACTAACTCGCAAGAAAGATTCGAACCTCTCATGAGAAACAATATCGGATTTTGAATTCTCAAAATCATATAAGACACAAACTTATCAGAAACATACCAAGAATCC